GTGATGCTCACTGGGTAGCTGTCAAGAATATCCTTAAGTACTTGAGAAGGACTAAGGATTCATTCTTGATATATGGAGGTCAGGAAGAGCTTGATGTAATTGGTTACACTGATGCTAGCTTCCAGACAGATAAGGATGATTTTAGATCACAATCTGGTTATGTGTTCTGTCTCAATGGTGGCGCTGTGAGCTGGAAAAGTTCAAAGCAAGAAACAGTTGTTGATTCTACAACTGAGGCCGAGTATATTGATGCCTCAAATGCAGCAAAGGAAGCTGTTTGGATCAAGAAGTTCATTAGTGAACTTGGCATAGTCCCTAGCATTGTGGACCCCATTGGTTTATATTGTGATAACAATGGTGCTATCGCACAAGCTAAGGAGCCTAGATCTCACCAATGATCCAAACACATACTTAGGCGTTATCACCTCATTCGAGAGATAATCGATCGGGGAGATGTGAAGATATGCAGAGTACCTACACTTGACAATATCGCTGACCCATTAACAAAGCCTCTTGCGCAACAGAAGCATGATGGTCATACTAGATCTATGGGTATTAAGGGTATGCCTAATTGGCTCTAGTGCTAGTGGGAGATTGTTGGTGTAAGCCCTAGAGGCCAATACTTTTTGGTACTTGTATCGGATTATTCGTTTAATAATAAAAGGCATTTCTTTATTATGTTTGTCTTTCAGAATAATAAAGTCCCTAGAATAGTTAGTCTGTTTAATGAAATGTTAAGTGTGACTTAATCATGAGATCCCATTAAACATAAAGACATTATTTTTAAAATATCCGTAGTCAAACTTTATTGCAAAGTGGGATAACATTAAAAGCATTGAGACTATTATGAAGATAGACTGATGATCACATCTCATGGATCATGGATAAAGAGTTATCAAGTCTTGACATAGGTATAAATATTAGGAGTAATATTTATACCGGATTGACCCGCTATGAGAATACTACATAGTATGTTATGCAAAGTGTCATAAGTTATTCTCATGGTGATAATGGTGTATTACCACCCTTCGACCTGAAACCACTATGGACCCTAGATGTAGAGTCGGGTGCTTTATTGCTGATCAAACATTATCCGTAACTGGATGATCATAAAGACAGTTGATGGGCACTCCACGAAGCATGCTGAGGGACATGAGTGTCCTAGATGGAATTTGCCAATCCTGCATAACAGGAGAAATGTCTAAGGGCCCAATATTGAACTGGACAAGGATGACACAGTGTATGCCTTGTGTTCAATATAGACATAGGGGCAAAAGGGTAATTGTACAAACATATATTATCACGAAAAAGGTTTTGTCAGATCACATGACATTTTCGTGACTTGGGTAGCAGTGATGTGTTGCTAGATACCGCTTACTGTTTATTATGTTAAATATATAATTTAATATAATTACCAACGTTACGAAATCCTACAGGGTCACACACATAAGGACAGTTTGATGAGAGATAGAAGGAACACCGTAAGGTACGGTGCACTTAAGTGAAAAATAGAAATTCGGATAATATAATAATAATTATTGTTATTTTATAATGGTTATAAAATAATAATAAAATAAATATATTTATTATAATAATAGTTATTATAATAATATATAATATTATTATGGATCATGTGAATTGGGGTTTTAGCTCGCAGCCCACAAGAGAGTCTATAAAAGGAACCCTTGTGATGAAGCTTTCACTTGATGCAATTTCGTTTTTGATTCTCTTTTCTCACTCAAATAATTCCGTTCGTAAGCAGCTAGCACTGTGACCGGAAGCTGTTCGTGTGGACTGAGTAGAGGCGTTGCACTTCATCAACGCTTGTGATCGCTGCATCAAAGATCTGAATCGCCACAAAGAGGTAACGATTCTATCACTGACCATGTTCATTCGTAAGGATCACTAAAGGAAATTTTTGTTTTCCGCTGCGTTTAGATCGCAATTTTCCATCATTACGTTATCTACAGGAGGAAGAGACATACTAGACAAAGCCCCAACACTCCTTAATTACATACAAAATGCCCAGAAAAAAAAACTTAATTGTAGTACACAATTTTCAAACATAAGAAAGACAAATAATAATATGAACAAAGTACACTTAGCACATGTTCTGCCGGGTGTGCCAATTTTTTTACTCTGAAAAATGGTAAACAACCGTTGGTCTCCAAATATATGATTTACTTGCAGGATCAACCAGTGAATCATAGGACATGGTGCTTAAGAACATATTTGTTGTTGATTTCTTTATATCCTACGGTTATTGACTTCGACTACGTCGAAGAGAATGTATGAAAATAAAATTTTAATGAGTATCTCGACTTCTTGTAGAAGCTGTAAAGTGAAAATAACAATGTTGAAGGTACTCAAATTAAAGTAAAGGCTAGGAAAAAAGATGAAGATAAAAAGAGCAATGTAAATTGAATAAATTAGGAAACATTGCATTGAACAATAAACATGATGTTTCATCTGCACTTACATTCTCTTAGTCATTTGCTGGTTTCTCTTAACACTGATACTTTGAGTTTCTTTGTGAGATTTGTAATACAAATGAGCACACCTAATTCAATGAAATGAACTACTCTATATACAAGTCTAAAATAACTACCCTATAACGTTCTTTTCTCTTTGAATCGCCACGTGCAGTTCTGCAAGTAGTTTTCCTTCCAACTTCCTCCACATGTCCTCTTGAGATAAGAACCCAAACAGTTATCAAGATTTGAACGTGACATAATCGTGCCTAAACAACCGCATCTTTGACCAATTTTACTGCGACACTGGCCGGCTAGTCGAAGCCACGGGTGTCGAACTACTTACTTCAACAACCAAAAATTCTCTATATCCCGGAGTGTGGTCGAACCATTGCTCTTCCAAGGCTTTTCCCTTGTTTGCTGGGTCTTCCTCATTGGTTAAAAATCCCAGCTAACAATTGCATCATAAACTTTTTCAGTTACGGCTCAGGTTGGTATATTTGTGAAATTTCCAAAGTAATTTACAAAATTACACTAGGAGACTTATAATTAAATTCAAATGCCAATTAGGCCATGCTTTCATCCCTATAATATCTTAATATATCTGTTAACACAAATAGGTTTCAGTGGCCCAATATTCCAACTTGTATCAAATCCTTTTCCATTCAAGAGAATACGAACTTGCTGAGGGATGATGAGGCATTCAGATGTTTCAATGTTATCAGTTTTTGCCACCAATAAACATGATTATTTATATGATTCGTAGTTATTCTTAACAGAAGTTCCATATCCTTGCTTGGCTTCGATTGACGCAATTATCGAACCCAGTATAACTAACTTCTGGAAAGAATCTTTCCATTATAGTTGATATTAATGTTGCTGAACTAGCTGGTGATGTGTTACTTGGAACATCTTTTGTGGAGTTGTAGATACTTTGTATGGCATCAACAATAGTTAAAACTTCTTCAGACTCTGTCTTATAAAACCAACCAATTTTACAGGCATTTTTCACAGATATCATCAAAACCATTATAGCTCCTAGTGATCCTACATCACTCTCTTAGTGATAAATCTGTTTTATCAACATGGTCAATTCATTAGCTATTGATGAATTTTCATGATTTACAAGTGCATAATCAATCTCTCCTGAGAGAGAGATTTGCATAAGTTGAAAAATTCGGCGGGGTCGCGTTGGTTGTCGGGTTTAAATTGTGAAGCCAAACAGTGCATAACTTCGATGATTCTATTCATATTGGCAAGCGCAAGCGATATCAGCTCTTTGTTTATAGTTTCGTTAGATGCACCAGAATCCAATGAAATGTTCGTTTCTATAATAGTTTTTGACATTATTCTCCAAGAGAAAAGAGAAGGAGAAAATTGCTTTGCTTCTAAACAGCTCCTACATTAACTTAGGATCATCTTATTACTTGTTCAAAGTTATTTGGAAGTAATGTTGTATACAGGAGTGGAAAAATGGGGGCATGCTCGCGCTCATTGCAAAAACCCAAAAACAAACGAAACAAACCAGGACGAATATAATTAAGGATACGAGCATAAATAAAAACAACCTTTAACATTGGTTAACATACATGCACATAATTTAAAAAGACAAAAAAAAATACAACATTAAAAAATTAAAGAGAGGGATTACGAATCCGTGACAAATTCTCCTATTTAAAGTGTTCTCAAAACTCTACTTCTATCAGTTTCGGTTCCTTTTCGATTCCTCTTATTTCGATTTCGTTTTTTATTTTTGGATGAAAAGTTATTGCTCTTCCTTCCTTTTGGCATGCTGTTAGAGGAAGTGAGAGTTTGTGTTTATTTTGGAAAGAAAAGTGGGATTGAGGTGTTAAGATTGTGGGAGGTTTTTTTGTTCGTGCAAAAATGTGTAAGTGATGTTGGTGAAGAATGATGGAGGTTGTTACAAGTTGGTGGCAAGAAGTTTGGACAGTGTGTCTAGGGAATGAGACGTTGGAAAGAGTTAGGGCGTGAGAATAGTGAATAAAGTCATACAACAAGACTTCAAAATTCCATTTAGTTCCTAAATACCCTTTTCGACTCAATTGGATCAAAATGATTTAGTCAACAATAGATCAAAACAAACTTTAGAACATCCACACTCATTAACTTACTTTGATTCTTTAAATAAAACCTACACAATTTTTTTAAATAACCTAATTATATTTTTCGAATATTCATACAATTCATCAAAAAATTTAAAATGGATCTCATCAAATCTCACAATATATCCAACGTACATTTTTATATTAATTATTTGATTCATGTTAGCAAATAAAAACGTTCGTCAACCAGAGAACAGTCATAAACTAAATAGTTTGTCGGTCCGAAAAGTGCATTGTTGGAACTGGATTGGAACGCCACGTGGCCTTAGATTCGGGAGTTCCCGCTATAGCCGAACACGAGGGAAAGATCCTTTATAATGATACTGATAAGATTATTTTATTTGGAAGTGGGAATGCTCTAAGTATTCCATTAATTATATATAAACGTTCCAACAAAAATACTTGCATGCATCAAAAATCCCAGGTTCAGAAAGGTAAATGCGTAAAAAAGAGACAAATTTTAGCAGATGGTGCTGCTACAGTTGGTGGTGAACTCGCTTTGGGAAAAAACGTATTAGTAGCTTATATGCCATGGGAAGGTTACAATTCTGAAGATGCTGTACTCATTAGTGAGCGTCTGGTCTATGACGATATTTATACTTCTTTTCACATACGGAAATATGAAATTCAGACTCATGTGACAAGCGATGGTCGTGAAAGAATCACTAATAAAATTCCACATCTAGAAGGCTATTTACTCCGAAATTTAGACAAAAATGGAATTGTCATTTGGGATCTTGGGTAGAAACGGGCGATATTTTAGTGGGTAAATTAACGCCTCAAATGGCAAAGAATCCTCCTATGAATACTATAATTTGCATTTCTAACAGGCATGAATACAACATCTATAGTATAACTTCCATCTTGAATGTTGTTTAGTGTTTTTATATGATATCCCCGCTTTCTCTCAATTTGTAATTCAATACACAAATTAATAGGTTCCGTTAGGTTAGCTATATGTTGTGTCTTATCAATGACTTCCACCGAAGGTGGTAAAATGATGTCTTGAGCAGTTACATATTCAGGACCTTTGAAAGAAATAGACGCCTCCCGAGTTCCATACAGATTACTTCTCAATACAATTTCTTTCAAATTCATTAAAATTTCATGTATTGATTCTTGAATACCTACTACGGTAGAATATTCATGTGGTATTTTCTCAGATTTTGCACGTGTGATACATGTTCCGTCTATTTCTCCGAGCAAAATTCTTCGCATTGCAATGCCTATTGTATCTGCTTGACCTTTCAGAAGTGGAGACAGAATAAAACGTCCATAATAAAGACGCTTACTGTCTACCCTTGATTCAACACACTTCCACTGTAGTGTCTTAGTAGATACTTTTAGTTTTTCTCGAATCATAGTAATCTATATTTTATGAAACTCTTAATTTAATTGTTTATTTCTCTTGAAATCTTTTTATTTCATATTTATTGTTAGTTTTACACACGTCTTTTTTTAGGAGCCCTACATCCATTATATGGTATAGGGGTTACATCCCGTATAACGTTTAATAGTATCCCACTTCGAACAATAACTCTTAATGCCGCATCTCTTCCTCGACCGGGACCCTTTATGCTGACGTCTGCTCGTTGCATGCCTTGATCGACTACTGTTCGAAGAGCATTTCCCGTTGCGGTTGTAGCGGCAAATGGTGTCCCCCTTCGTGTACCCTTGAATCCACATGAACCGGTGGAGGACCAAGAAATCACCCGACCTCCTACATCTGTAACAGTCACAGTGGTATTATTGAAACTAGCTTGAATATAAATAACCCTCTTTGGTATTTTACGCGGATGCTTACGCGAACCAATACGTCCAGTTTTCCGTGAACCAAGTTTTGGTATAGATTTTGCCATTTTTTTTATTTAAAAAAAAAAGATAAGTCCGAAATATATGAATATATCCATTTCCTGTCAAAAAGGATTCTTTACTATTTTCTAACTAGTTATTCTATTGTATTCTATAATTCGATTAATATAGAATACCCTTTTTTCAAATATTAAGCAATAAGCAATTCTATTTATTCGAATACTTATAACTATAGACTAGATTCGAATATAGAATCTAAATTTTTCGATTTGTATGATTTAGTATTTAAGAAAAGGGCTTTCCATTAATAAGATTTTGAATTCTATTCAAAATCTTATTAATGGAAAGCCCTTAATTTATATTAATTTAATATTTTATATTAATTTAATATTATCCTTGTCGTTGTTTATGTTTTGGATTCGAACAAATTACTATAAGTTGACCTCGCCTACGGATCAATCGACATTTTGCACAAATTTTACGAACAGAGGCCGCTACTTTCATATTTTTAACTCCTTAGAAATTCAATTGAATACCAAATTTATATATTGTAAGAAAATGGGGTTTCCTTACATTTCGAACTTAAAATTGTTCCTCCTAAAAAATATTTTCAAGTTATAAAAGAGTCGGGTGGTCGTCGTCATCGACGTCCCCAAGAATAGAAACCCTATCAATCAATAGGGCCAAAATCTTCATCAATCTCTTCCAAAATCAAAATCTGCCGACCGGCATTTCGAGAATAATGTTGATACAATAAACTGTGTACAAATTCTCGATCATATTGCATATATCCTACAACAAAATATGAATCTGAGGTGGCTGCTGAGCTCACCTTTATAAATAAGCCCTCATACTTAAGGTCTTTGTCTATTTCTGCTAGAAAATCGTCTGCGTGTTCCGAAATCGGAATATAGAACGTTACCAAATGTAAGGTAATCATAGAGAAATATCCTTGGGTGTTTTTTTTTCTCTTGAAATTCAATTTACCTAAAGCAACCTGCAACGTTGCAGGTTGCTTTAGGTAAATTGATAGATTCAATAAAATTAAGCGAAGTACCCACCATGATCGTCATTGTCACTAGGACCAGCCAAAGTAACAACATCCAAAGGGCCCCAATTGGGATCCAGAAGCGCACCAAACAAAATATTCATATGGGCTTCTAAATAAAAGCGATACAATAAAAATCGTGTTTCTCTTCGATTATATTGCGAATACATTCGGATAAAATAGAATTCTGCGGAGGGTTCTACTGGGTCTCCAACTACAAATTTGGAGTCGTCGTCCTGAAATTCTTTTTTCATGACTTCCATAAAATCGTCTGCGTGTTTCGTAATCGGAAGAAGTAATTTTACCATATTAAGCATATTATCTCACCTCCTATTTTTTCTAATCGAGCCTGTCGATCGGTGATTATACCCCTAGAAGTAGAAAGAATTACAATCCCTATTCCTCCCAAAACTTTTGGGATTTTGGGATAGTTAGAATATATTCGTAGACCGGGCGTACTAATCTGTTTAAAATTTAAACAACTTTTAAAAGGATATGATCCTTTATTATTTCTTCTATACTTTAGAGTTAAAACTAAAAACTTTTTGTTGCTTTCTCGATGTTTTCTGACGTTTTCAAGAAAACCCTGTCGTAAAAGAATTTGAACAATGTTTTCGTTCATCTTAGTGAACGGTATTGGAATAATTCTTTTTCTATTCATGTCCGCATTGCGTAACAATGTGAACATATTTCCGATCATATCTTTGTTCATGATAGCCTCCTGTATTATGTTTTTTTATGCTATTAGGTGGAAGAGAATAGGGTTTTCTTTCTAAGATAACGAAGCTGTTTTTTTTATTTTATTTATAAGAGGTAGAATAACCCGGTTGAAGAGAGTATATATTTCATTTTTATTTTAATATTTTTCTCGAAAATAAGCAAATGAAAGGCTTTTATTCTGTACATGTTAAATCATGAATTAGTACATGGAATCTCCAAAAAAATAACCCTTGATGTATGTATCCTTAGGTCTATGTGTGTATATGGACCATAGATCCTGTTCATGGATATTTATGTATGGATCCCCTTTATATTTATATAATATATATATATATAAATCCTACTACCGATTCATGGGGATACTCCATCAAATATCAAGTATAACGTATTATATCAGATTATAGCACCTCGGGTGCGAGTGAAATTATTTTAGTAAAATTTAACTGTCTCAATTCTCGGGCTATTGCGGAAAAAATTCGAGTTCCTTTTGGATTTCCCTGTTTATCAATGAGAACGGTTGCATTATCATCATATTTTATTATTATACCATTATGACGTTTTAGTTCTTTAGAGGTACGTACAATTACAGCTCTGATGACTTGAGATCTTTCTAACGATGAATTTGGCACTGCTTTTTTTATTACAGCGACAATAATGTCACCCATATAAGCATACCGTCGATTACTAGCTCCTATGATTCTAATACACATCAATTCGCGCGCTCCGCTATTATCGGCTACATTTAAATAGGTTTGAGGTTGAATCATATCCTTTTTTCTTATCTTTCAGTCAAAAAGTTGAAATAAAAAAAATATTGTGTGTTCAAAAAAAAAAGAAACGGAGAATTTCCTTTTTTCATACTAACATTCGTTCTAATGATTATTTGGAAAAAATGAATTGAGTTCGTATAGGCATTTTGGATGCCGCTATTGAAATCGCCTTTCTAGCGATATTTTCTGGGACCCCTCCCATTTCATAAAGTATTTTTCCGGGTTTAACAACAGCTACCCAATATTCAGGCGATCCTTTTCCCGAACCCATACGCGTTTCGGTAGGTCTTACTGTAACTGGTTTGTCTAGAAATATGCAGACCCATATTTGTCCACCCCGACGAACATTTCGTGACATTGCCCGTCGACCTGCTTCTAGTTGTCTAGATGTGATCCAAGCGGGCTCAAGTGCCTGAAGAGCATATTTTTCGAAGCAAATTTTATTACCGCGAGAGGCGTTTCCTTTTAATTTCCCTCTATGATGTTTGCGGAATCTCGTTCTTTTTGGGTTATAGTTGATGGTTATTTCTCAATTCCATCTCTATTACAGAACCGTACATGAGATTTTCACCTCATACGACTCCTCGCAAATAAATCGATTGAAAAATCTGGAACCGAAAAAAGAATAATAGTTAAAATAATATACACTAATATACATATTTGTTTCTAAAATAGAAAATGAAATAGAATCGCGGGATTTTCGCGGGCGAATATTGACTCTCTGATTATAAATTGAAGATGTAATGTTGGGTTCGTCCACAACTCCTCAAAAAGCCATGAATTTTTAGTTTCTTCCGCCATCCCATCTAATGAATCAGTAAGATTTCTAATTTTCATGGAATCTTTTGTATTCACAGGTTCCGTCGTTCCCATCGCTTTTCAATTTATGGTTAGGTCTAAATTCTACAATGGAGCTGCTTTAATAAGATTTTGTTTTTTTTTATTCTTTTTTGTTGAATCAACCCTCTCAATTTTCTTGATTCGTGGCTCTTTATTCGTTTATTCTAATATTCATCCATATATGGATGAATTTTGAATATTGATGCTTTATTACACTACTTTTTATGAGATGACCAATAGACCTTTACATAGTAGAATTCTATATCATTAATATCCTTTTTCTAGCTTTCTTTCACCCCTTCATTTATCTGTATATTCTTATTGCTTTACAACTAATAATTTTATTTTTTTATTTCAGTTGCTATAATTATATCACCACATAGATCCTTATTTTGATTTTCTATTTTCGGCAGTTCTTTCTATCCAGATAATGGGAAGCGATGAGTAGGTTTTTTATAGTAATGAATTCTACGAATTTTTGTAGAAATTGAAACACTCAAAAAAAACCAACGAGTCACACACTAAGAATAGCAACTCCTTCATTCTAAAATGATTCATTAATTTTTTTTTATTCAATCTTCCAAATTTTGTAATTTCTTCAACGTAAAGTATTTCAAATTGTCATTTTTTGTTTTAAAAAAAGATGGAACGTTATAAGGGAAAGTTGATTAGAAGTTTTGAAATATCCAGATTTTGACTCCGAATACCCCAAACAAAGTTACAAGTGGAACGAAACAAAAATCCATTGGAGCTCGAATGGTTTGTAGAGGAACCCTACCTTCTCTCGTCCATTCGACACGTGCAATTTCTTTTCCTTCCATACGTCCCGCAATTTTTATTTGAACTCCTTTTGTATCTGCCTATTCAGCTAATTCAATACCTTTTTGCATTGCTTTACGAAACGAAATTCGATTCCGTAATAGTTCGCTTAAAAATTCTGCAACAATTTTAGCGTCTCTATAAAGATAAGGACTTGGAAGTTTTGTAATTTCAAGGTCGAGTTCTCGGTTCCCACAAGTTACTTTTTTTTTTGCACTCGAGTATTCAATTGTTCGACTCTTAGATCCTTAACCTTTTCTTTTAAGGAGTCTGGAAGTCCCATATAGATTATCACTTTAATCAGATCGATTCTTTTTTGAATCTTTATTCGTCCCATTCCATAGCCAGAGATATCGGTCTCGAATTCACAGGATTCGGGTACCATTTTTTGTATAAAATTATTGATACAATATCGTATAATTTTATCTTCTTTTACATTCTCGGAATACATTTTTGGTTTTGCAAACCAAATAGAATAATGACTTTGAGTTGCACCAAGTCGGAAAACAAGCGGATGTATTTTTTGGCCCATAACCACCACTCGATATCTTTTTGTTTATCCATAATTATATTTTTTTTTATTAAACTTTCTATATCTTTATTTCTTTTTCTGTTGCAGAATAATACAATTCTTTTTATTCTGCAACAGATTGAGTAATTTATTAATTAATCCGAATCCTCATAATGTTCATTTTTATCAATGATGATTGCGAAAAGTATCCTAAAATGAATGGGAAAATTCACTTCAATGATGATTGTGACCTGTATTTTTAAATATATGGTAAAAAAATATAGGTCCAAGGGTAAATTGAGAAATATATTTTTTCTCATTTTTTGGATACCCTCCCAAGTTTTCGAGTAGGTGAAAATTCTCCTAATTTATGGCCTACCATACGATCTGTTATATAAATAGGTAAATGCTCTTTTCCATTATGGATAGCAATGGTATGCCCAATCATTGTAGGTATAATGGTAGATGTTCTGGACCAAGTTTTTATTAACTCCTTTTCTCCTTTTATGTTAAGCTTCTTTATTTTTCTTAATAAATGATTGGCTACAAAAGGATTTTTTGTTCGTGAACGTGTCATAGTTAATTATTCCTCCTATAATAACTAAAAAAGTTAATTTTGTTCTCTTATATTTCCAATTCTAAAATATAGAATGTCTAAAAAAAGAAAATCCTATAATGTCCCAGTAAATTGCTATTTTCTTTTGCAAAGACGAAAAAACAAATTCTATTTTATCTACGCTTACGCTCGACTATTTACTACGGCGACGAAGAATCAAATTATCACTATATTGATTCGTTTTTCTAGTTCTTCTTCCAAGTGCAGGATAACCCCAAGGAGTTGAGGGTTATCGATAGACAAAAAAATCATGGTATGCACTTTCGTGTATTAGCTAAAGCCTTACGTTTGTCTGGTGGAGATCATATTCACGCTGGTACTGTAGTAGGTAAACTTGAAGGAGAAAGGGAGATTACTTTAGGTTTTGTTGATTTACTACGTGATGATTATATTGAAAAAGATCGAAGTCGCGGTATTTATTTCACTCAGGATTGGGTTTCTTTACCAGGTGTTATCCCTGTTGCTTCAGGGGGTATTCACGTTTGGCATATGCCTGCTCTGACCGAGATATTTGGAGATGATTCTGTACTCCAATTCGGTGGAGGAACTTTAGGACACCCTTGGGGAAATGCACCTGGTGCCGTAGCGAATCGAGTAGCTCTGGAAGCATGTGTACAAGCTCGGAATGAGGGACGTGATCTTGCTCGCGAGGGTAATGCAATTATCCGTCAAGCTTGCAAATGGAGTCCTGAATTAGCTGCTGCTTGTGAAGTCTGGAAGGAAATCAAATTTGAATTCCCAGCAATGGATACTTTGTAATCCAGTAATAATAATTCGTTCTATTAATTTCCATTAAACTCGGCCCAATCTTTTACTAAAAGGATTGAGCCGAATACTGTACAGAATACTTGTTGTATCTATAAATGAATCCTATGGATCTTTCGGATTGATAGATTTTTTTCTAGTTCATTATTCTTTTTTGATTTGGAATATAATGAATTAAAATAGAAGTATTTTCTATTAATATTGACAACAGTGTATCAAACCAATATAATCCGATCGTGAATAAATGGATCGATTGACTCATGTCAGATAGGTTTTTTACTTCATCAAATGGTGGATTCGTTGTATTTTTTTTCTTTCATTGTAATTTAATGTCATTCATTGTAATTTAATGTAATATGTAACATAATATGTAACATTTGATTCTATTATTTATAGAATTGCATCTTTTTTTATTGCGATTGGATATAGACATCCTTGTTTGTAATTGGATTAGGGTTGCTAACTCAATGGTAGAGTACTCGGCTTTTAAGTGCGACTCCATTTTTTACACATTTCTATGAACTAATTGGTTCATCCCTACCATCGGTAGGGTTTGTAAGACCACGACTGATCCAGAAAGGAATGAATGGAAAAAGCAGCATGTCGTATCAACGGTGAATTCTAAAAATTTTTCATTCATATTTGATCCGACCAATATTTTTCTTTGAATTGTTGGCTCCGAACAAATGAATTCCGTTGGGTTTAATTAATAAAGGGATAGAGCTTAGCTGCTCCAATTATAGGGAAACAAAAAGCAACGAGCTTTCATTTTTGATTTGAATGATTACCACATCTAATTATACGTTAAAAAAGAATTAGTGCTTGCTGTGGAAAAAGTTTTTCCTACGAATGATGGATTAACGATTTTTATTATGAGTCCTAATTATTAGCTATTCCCCATTATTTTATGGGGTAGCAATAAATGTGTAGAAGAAAGAGTATATTGATAAAGATCTAATTTTTTTCCAAAATCAAAAGAGCGATTGGTCCAAAAAAATAAAGGATTTCTAACTAGCTTGTTTGTCCTAGAAAAATGAGAAGGAACAAGCGAGGGGAGATAGTCCATTAATGGGTTTTAACTCGTTTTCTAGGTATCGCTTCATATTTGTTTTTTTATTTCAATTCGAATATAGATCTAGAATACCTTGTTTTGACTGTATCGCACTATGTATCATTTCATAATCCAATGAATCTTTGACCAAATCAAATTTAGAAAATGAAGGAATATCAAGTATATTTAGAACGAGCTAGATCTCGCCAACAGGACTTCCTATACCCACTTCTTTTTAGGGAGTATATTTATGGACTTGCTTATAGTCATAATTTGAATAGATCCATTTTTTTGGAAAATGTAGGTTATGACAATAAATATAGTTTACTAATTGTAAAACGGTTAATTACTCGAATGTATCAACAGAATCATTTAATCATTTCGGCTAATGATTCTAACAAAAATCGATTTTGGGGATATAATAAGAATTTGGATTCTCAAATAATATCAGAGGGGTTTGCCATCGTTGTGGAAATTCCATTTTTGCGACAATTAAGCTCCTCCTTAGAGGAGGCAGAAATCCTCCAATCTTATAAAAATTTGAGATCAATTCATTCCATTTTTCCCTTTTTGGAAGATAAATTTACATATTTAAATTATGTGTCAGATATACGAATACCCTATCCTATCCATCTGGAAATCTTAGTTCAAATCCTTCGATATTGGGTGAAAGATGCCCCTTTTTTTCATTTATTAAGGCTGTTTCTTTATAATTTTTGTAATTGGAATAGTTTTATTACTACCAGAAAATGGATTTCTACTTTTTCAAAAAGTAATCCAAGATTATTCTTGTTCCTCCATAATTTTTATGTATGTGAATATGAATCTATCTTCGTTTTTCTACGTACTAAATCCTCTCATTTACGATTCAAATCTTTTAGCGTTTTTTTTGAGCGAATTTTTTTTTATGTAAAAAGAGAGCATCTTGAAAAAGTTTTTTATAAATATTTTTCGTATCCTTTAACATTCTTCAAAGATCTTAACATTCATTATGTTCGATATCAAGGAAAATGCATTCTGGCTTCAAAGAATGTGCCTTTTTGGATGAATAAATGGAAACACTATTTTATCCATTTATGGCAATGTTTTTTTTGATGTTTGGTCTCAACCAAGAATGATCAATATAAACCCATTATCCGAACATTCATTTCAGCTTTTAGGCTATTTTTTAAATGTGCGACTAAATCGTTCCGTGGTACGGAGTCAAATGCTGCAAAATACATTTCTAATCGAAATTGTTATCCAAAATTTGGATATAATAGTTCCAATTATTCCGCTAATTAGATCATTGGCTAATGCGAAATTTTGTAATATATTAGGGGAACCCATTAGTAAGCCGGTCTGGGCCGATTCATCCGATTTTGATATTATTGATCGATTTTTGCGAATATGCAGAAATCTTTCTCATTATTATAATGGATCCTCAAAAAAAAAGTTTGTATC